CGGGTCAAAGCTGATGGCTTTACCTTCCGCACGCAACCCGTGATGCATAAACACTCCCATTATCATCCCTCAACAACCCCATGGAGAGATATGTAACGCACTATGAGGTGTTTGTATTGACCTCTGTGTCTTTCATCTATGATATGTCCAACTGATATTACTGTAGTACTCCGGTAAGTGCCTATTCCTTTAGGAACCTCACAGTATATCATAGCAGACATGACATGTGGTATAGTAGTCCTTAAGCATATATTATTGGACATTTAAGGACATTTAATGGATGCAAACTTTTGGGTTTCAGGCAAGTAAAGGCAATAGGGTCCAATCTAATCCTTTTGTTCTGGTCTTATCTAGTCCTACCCTCCCCAAATACATCTAAGGACCTATTTTATTCCAGAAAATGTATTGATATTTGTATTGTTATATATTTAGTGAGATATTTTTTGCAGGAAGCTCAATAGGCTAAGTGATTAGACTGTTATTTTGCCCAAGAAGACTTATTTCCCATGAGCCTCTAATTAACAGAAGATTTATGTCTACGCAGACTTGGATGTCCCAGATGAAGATATCTTTATGTTTGCTCTAGAGGTACTTCATGCATACTATTTAAGTTAAATAAGTTTTGTGCCACAATGCATCTTCATTTAAGTGCAACTTGAACCAACAAAATCAATCAAACGACAAATATTCTTAAATAATTTGGAATATTTAGGAGTGATGATTGAACAACTGCATTAAAATTCCACTGTGTAAAGTCAGTTTTCAGTTACATCATACTGGTCTAGTCTTTATCATTTATTCAGTTTGCATTATAACCTGTATCCAACACTGTCAGGGCTCTTGAGGTAGCTGCTGCAGCACCTGCAGGAGACTCCCATGCTGACCTGTGGCTCAGAGGACATCTGGGAATATCATGCATGCCTCCCACAGCTCCACATTCACCCTCTTCAAACAGACCACCAGCTAATTATGGCTTTCCCAGATCCCTGAGCTCAAGAAATCACTACAGAATAAGCCAAGGGTATGAGATGTTTGCTTTTGACCCCCCCCCCACTGGTTTAGTTAACTGGAGATTCAGCAACAACCAATGAAAATAAATTATCTATGGGCTCAAAGTACTGAGACTATGGGAAATGAGTTTGTTTCAAAAAATGAAAGGTATTTTTGTATGTCAAGTAAGTACTCATATGTCTTCAGATGGTGGTCCTGCAAATGACCAGTTTATTATTTTATTATTCTTGTTTTTAGAGATTAAGTTTAAGTCTATAATGAATATCAAGACAGTTTAGACGTAAGAATGATACTTTCATTTTTTTAATTCAAGATATTACCAAATATTTACAACACTCAAAATGTGCAGACTCCAGATCCATTCAGCATTCTGAGATATCACAAAAATAAATAACTTTTATTTGAGTGGGGGAAAGGAATTTCGAACCTGTGTAGAAAAATAAATACAACATACTTGCTGTGAAACAATTGTCACAGGGAATGTGGAATGAATTGTCATGTTTCTCTCTTGTTTCAAAACAGAGCAGTTCCTCAGAGCTCATTTTGTTTTTACAACATTCATAGTCGCAGTGGTCTTTATTTCTTCATATCCGTCCAGTCTGTCCTAAGTGCTCCCTTGCAAACATTACAGTCCATGCAACGGGAAATATGAAAAGCCCGCTCTCCTCTGAGGCCTGAAGCACTGCGGCCTCAGCTGTGTTAGACCTGTTTCAGTGTATCTGTGGCGTGATCCACTGGTTCTTCAGTCTGGATAATCTGTAAAAGAAATAAGAAAAATCAATACATAGAAACGTGTCGTTTGTAGGACTTAAGTTGTAAAAACCTTTCTTAATGCATTCGTAATCTATATTTTCAGTCATGGAACCTGGTTGTGACCTATTGGGTAAGCAATATAAACATAAACTTTGTTTTCATTAAGTAGAAGCTTCACATTTTAAGATAGATGGTGAAATCTTGCGGTTGTACAAATCATGTGCGTAATTGTTTAGTACAATCTAGGGACTTGCAGCGCATAACAAAACAGCCCTAATGAATTTTAGATGGGGGCGCTATACAAACATTGGCGGAAAAAGTATCCCTATTGTAAAATTATAACTGTATTACTTTTAATCTTCATCTGGTGTCGGTGCGTAAAATGCGCATAGCAACATTTTGGCACCGAGTGTCTTCCCAGAGGAATAAAAGTGAAAGGAGCTCAGCCTACCATGATGCACCTCCGCAGCAGCCCTGCTAGTGGGACGTAGTAGACAAGGACCACGCGCCCCCCATCCTCCAGACCGAGAACGCGTAGCTCAGGCGCTCGTGCGCCACGTAGCTGCAGCTGGTCCCTCGCGCGTCCAGCTCGTCGCTCTGCAGAACCTGGCACAGGAAGTCGATGTACCGGGCCGCGAGCTTCAGGGTCTGGATCTTGCTGAGTTTGTCCGACGGGAGGGTGGGAATGATCTTACGTAACGAGGTGAATGCCTCGTTGAGGGACTGCGTCCGTTGCCGCTCGCGGATGTTGGCCATCACGCGCTGTGTCTGTAGGTCATCGAAGGAGGGCTCGGGGCTGCTGCTGCCCTCGCTGCCGCCGCTCCCTGCGCTGCCGCCTCCTGCGCCGCAGCTCTTCCTGCATTTCTTCTTCCCGGGGCTCGGACTCTCCAGGTCTCCCTCCTCCTCGTCGTCGTCCGCGCTCCTGCGTGTCGCCCGCCGCTTCCTCGCGCCTCTCCGCGGCAGCTCACGGTCGGTCTCCTCCTCGCTGTTCCCCGCACTGTCCATTGGGGAGGAGTCCTCTTCCCGCATCGTGTCTTCCAAAACTTTTCTGTGGTCTGCTGGACCGTAATAACCCCTGACCTTAATCCACTGAACTGGTTACAACATCAACAAACAGACAGGTAATGAGTGGCCTGCTGTAACGGTAAATCTCGTGCGCCACAGACAGGGAGAGGTATCTGCCAGACTGGGAGAGACCGGGGTTCTTATAGCGGGGAGCGGGCAGGAGGATTTTGGGGAGCGTTGTGATTGGGTGAGGAGGGGTGTGTAACATAATACTGCAGGAGAAGGAGAGTTCTAGCTATAATATCAGGAATGGTAAGACATTCAGGCTCCTTTGCACAACATTGTGAAGGGGGGTGTAGCAGGGGCGCGGTGTTATTGAATCATAGGTGTACATTTGTGCAATGACAGTAGGAACTGTCCCGCCTTCAGTGATGAATTATTTCTTCTTTCCCCATCCCAGTTTATTTCTGCTCCAAATGTTTCTTAGTCTCACTTCATTAACACAGAGATTCGGTTTAAAGTCTGTTAAATTCATGTCATGTTTCGGACTAATTTGAGCCTTTTTTTTTTTCTTTTTTTTTTTCTTAAACGTTTTTAAAAGTTGCTACTCTGCGTCAAACTGCACAAACTTTTACTTCCTTTTGCAAATAAATCAAAGACAGGGGGAACATATCAGAAATTCCTCCACAAGCCTGTTGTCTCTTGCAGGCTTCTAATCTCCCTGTTGCGGGTCCAGACGCGGCCTGAAAAGGGAGCAGTGGTGGCGGTGAAAAATATCAGACCTACTGAAACACAGGAGGTTGCCGCAGCAGGAGGTCTCTGCTCGTAAGCAGACCTTGCTGTTTATTTTCCCGTCAGCGGCCCCGCGTTGAGGTATGCGCTTAAATGGGTCTGACTCCCGCAGGGATCAGGACACCGCGGCTCAGGTTTAAAAGACGGGCCGTCCCAGGGAGCTCTCAGGGCGGATCCGTGCTCACAGCGGGGTCGCTAAAGGCGGTGTACTGCTGGAGCGCAATACAAACACTGGAGGTGATAAAGATGGACGAGAGAGAGAGACAGAGAGAGAGAAAGGGGCACTCGCACACACACACACACACACACACACACACAGAGTCCAAACACGCACACATGACCACCCAGCGCATGGGGCCTATCCAATATAGAATATCAAAATCCAGCAGAGATTCCCTACACATGTGGCTGAAACTGGATCTGGCAACTTTTGGAGGTGGTCTGTGGTGTGAATTATCCACAGGGGAGGCCTCGCCTCTGATGAGGGAGGATGACACACGAGGAGGACCACAGCAGGACCGGTCTGGCCCCTTTTTATTAGGAGGAACCGCCACAAGCGCCTTTCGGGCCTGGATCTCCTGCACCAAATATCTCTCTGTCTTTCAACCCGAGACGAAGAGCATGTCTGGGGGTCTGTTTATCTCCCCGTAGCTTAACCTCCTCTCTTTCATCATATCTCCGTCTCAATTCACACCTCAGTGTCAAAAGATAATATCCAGCGTCGAGCAATGAGTCTTGAATTTGCCATTTAAATCCGTTGAATCTTTACTCATTTGCGCGTAAAACGGTTGGTAAGGCTTTAAGGGCCGATAAATCTTTCTTATTTGTTCTCGTTTTTTCTTTTGGAGGAAAACCTAAAGCTGTCCTTGTTCTCAGCATCACCTGTTCAAAGTCTGCACCGAGTCACTCTCCAAGGTGCTGAAACGACACACCTGAAGTCTTACAGTCAACCTCCTTAAAAATGGCCTCATATATGTCGCTGTTTCAAACATTTACACATTTTAAATAGTATTGCCTTCTAGTACTACACAATAAATGCATTTTGGTCTTACACTTGTCATTAATCGACACTGAATTTAAATTAAATTGGGTGTTTTCTTTATAATTGTGATGCAGAGTAAAGAACACATGAGTTATCGTAGCATATACATTTATTTTAAAACAACAATAAGTCACATATATTAAGTGAAATATTTAAAGAAGGTTCGCTCGGCCTGCTTAGGTCAAGTCTAATAATTTATGCCACTGGCAAAATAATATTATGCTGTCAGTTCTATACTTTTTTTAAACGTTGTGAAAAGAAAAGGCTGTAGTTCTTTCAAATATTTCCTGTTATCTAGTTCTAACATTTCAGAATGAATGCTCAATCTTTTCAGTGTCTTTGTCATCTCTGACATCAGTGTTAAATTCAGCCCAGTCAAATCTCCATTGAATAAAGGTCATATTGGACTGTTTTGACTGTTTTGCTCCAGCAGGTCCGTCATGAAGGAGATGTAAACGATGGCCAGACGGAGTGTGTCGATGCGCGACAGTCTCTTCTCGTAAGCGAATGTGGGAACTTTCCTCCTCAGTTCATCAAACGCCTCATTCAGGCTAAACATCCGCTTCCTTTCCCGCACATTGGCCGCCTGCCGTTGGACCACGGTGATGATCCTCCTCCGTTTGGACTTGCTGGGGCTGTAGTAGCGCGGTGAGCCCATCACCAGATGTTCGGAGCGCACGCCGTTTTCCAGGTTCCGGTTCCAGGGCAGGTCATTCAGCCGCATCTGGTCGTTCGGGCTGGACGGGTCATTATCCACCTGCTGATTTGGTTCCAAAGTGTACTTTTGCGGAAACTCCATCAGGTTAATGTCATTGACAAAATGTATCAACGTGGAGTCCACTAAGTGGCCTTGCATCTCCGCATTTAGTCCCAAACGGCGGCCTCTCAGAGAATATGTCCCTTTTATATGTCTGCTATTCAGTGGAACGAAAAAGACTGACGCCAACCAAAGCTTCCAGGACTGTCTGAAATCATTCACCAGACACAGAGACCGAGGCAGGAGAGCATCTCAGCATCTCAACAAGTAAATCCAAACTTCTTCAAATCCGGTCAGTGCACGACAGGGTAAGATCCTATTTGGCTCAAGTCCAAGGGCCTTTCCTGCTGTTTTAATAAGTCGCCTATGCCTCCTCACAGCGCGACATCTTTCATGTCCACTCTAGCTCTAAATTGAGTCCATTTCTAACGTTAGTCCGCCGGTGAGTGGGTTGAATCCGAGCAGAGGGGCTTAAAAAGGCCGAGAGGAAGCTGGGGGACCCGCCAATTGATGCGCTGTCCTCCTGGAGGCCCTTAATGAGCTTCTGAATAACGGAGGCTCTTGACAGAGGGTCATACAGTCTTGTTTGCACTCTCCCCTCTGCTTCAGAGGCTAAATAATGACACTTTTATCACTTAAACAGGCCAGGAGAAGACCAAATAGAACATTCCCTAACAGTCGCTATACACCACATGCTTTTCTGTTGCAAATTAAAGCAAATAACTGCCCGTTCCCATGGCAGGACAGAGTCCACACTGCAGAGGCTGCTGAGAGCTGGTGGACTGTGTGCTTTATGGCTCTGGAGAGAGTGCTTGGTCACTATAATGAGCTCTGCATTAGTGAGACCAAATTTGTTATTCTTGTTGTTATTGACGACGTTGGTGAAGATGATGATGATGGTGATGGTGATGACAAAGATATTAAAATCAGACCTTATTTGACATGTTTCATTTTGCTGTTAAGGTTATCGGGAACCAGCTCCACATTTAACCTGCCAAGTATTCAGTAAGTTTGGCTCAGAAAACACATACAGATTTGCCTAATGGTTTAATAGGAAGCAAGATGGTTACATTTCATACACAAATTCAGACAGGAACTGTTTGGAACAGAAAGCTTGTAGTTTATTGGGGTAAGATAACTGACTCAAGGGTGACTCAACTTTTGTGGTTTAAGAAGGACAGTCTGCTGTTTTAAAAGTTGCTAGGGTTGTGTTTGTGGTTTTAAAGCCCACTCATGATGACAAACTGCTCCAGAGGCATTAACATTCAAACATTTTTAGCTTTATAGAAATGGACTAACTCATCATATTAATGGTGTTAAATACCGACTGGTGCAGGTCAAGGGTAATGAATGGTACCTCATGCTTTGCAGAGATTTGCACTTAAGTTGAAGTTGACATTCATTCATGTAGTTGGTTGACAGGTCGCTCTGATAATATGTCAACTCATGTAAGGAGGCCAGTTGCTGTAGATGTTTGAATGGTCATATTAAGTACTAGTTGTTACTTTGGTTGCCTGTTATGTTAGATTGCTTTACTGACATTGACAGCAAGTTTGGCAGCACTATTTTAACCATTATCATTTATAGTTTATTCAATAGAAAATGGTTTATGATCCATTATAAACTGGTTGCAGACACATATAAGGTATAAGTGTTTATCAATGTCAACAACTATAACCCCTCATATGAAGGATCCATAATTGGTGTATTAACACAGTTGTAATCATATGTAATGATATTTTAAAATACATTTAGGAACGGTCTTAAACCTGCATGTGCATGATTTATACATGTGTTTAAACACTGGTTGTTTATAGTCTATGGACGCTTCATTGCTCTCACTGCAGACAGATATATTAATAATCAATTAGAAATTCCCTCCTAATTGCTTACAACAACATTATATTGTGCGATAAACCATAAATTAAGTGTTTATATTCTGCTCATAAATGTTAAATAGGGGCAGGTAAAATTACTGAAAGTAATTAGTCATCATGATTTAAAGATAAATAGAGGGAGGTTTTATTGTATTGAATGAAAATGGCCAAGAAGAAAAACTTTGAAGGGTTCAGCTTCTCATATGTTTGGATGGTGGAAGTATTTAAGTAGCGTGTTGCTCCTGGTAGTGTGAATATGCTCTGATACCAGTCACAACAGTAACATACCAACAGTAACTTGCTATTTGAAGTGCCTTCTACATTCCTGTGTGATTATTCCACACGCACAAGTTTTAGAGTGTGAGTGCGTATAAGGGTCTGGGTTGAAGACACACTCCAACCTAAGTGTATCTTCTCCATCTCCCTCTGCTGCTGCTTCTTCTTCTTCCTCTTGCTCTCTGTTTTTCTGGCAGGCGGATAAACATGATGGGACATTCCGCCGGTTGTCTTGGAAACGCTGAGAAAGCACAGCTGGGCGGGAGAATATGAGGTAATCTCACCCTGGGGCTGCTGGGTAAATATTGGTCTTAAATAAGGAGTAAAACCCCAAAAGAGGCACACAAACACACACACACACACACACACACACACACGCACACACCTACAGGGATTTATCCCAGTTTTGTCAAGAGTGGAAACACAGAGGACAGACCTTCACACAGAGACTCATAATGGCCCATTTCCTGCTCTGCTCTGTTATTATTGGTTAAACAGAGCAAAAATTAATGATAGTTTGTGGTGTGACTAAATGTTTGTGGAAGTAAACAGTGGAGGTTTGACAGATGCAACCTCAGAGTGAAACCGAAATTCTGTAAAGTTTTGTCAAGTGGATTTTCTTCCTTTTAGAACAAGGCTCAGACTCTATAGCTGGCCCACCCTATTAGCAGCCACAGGCCCACATCCAGCTCAGAAACAACCTCTGAGTGGCGCAGCATACATTAGTCTGATATATGACAAAATAAGTACATATATAGTGGATGGAAGTAACTAAAGAGTGAGCCCCTTCTCATCTCTGTTGAGAATCACATGTGTGCAGGATCGGGCAGGATGTTTATGGATGTAGTGACATTGCTAAATCATATCTTCCACAAATAAACATTTTCTCATATGAGTTTGACCACGCCGAGTAGCTTTTAAAAACATCTGGCTATCGACAGTCGTAAGTAGGGAAGGGCTCTACTGAAAATGTGAGCTAAGTGCTAATGTCAGCAGGCTAACACGTTAACAATTACAATGCAAACATGTTGAAGTTTAGCGGGTATAATGTTGACCATGTTCATCATCTTGTTTTAGTGTGCAGCATGCCAACATTTGCTATATGTATAGAAATACGTACAATACGTATTGGACAATTTAAAACTTTGACCAGACGATGGCGCTAGATGGAAATTCATGGGACTACCAAAGTCATTACAGGCTTTATCCTCTGGAGACCATGAATCTGCACAAACAAATCTAATAGGAACTGCATATTTGGTCAAGACAGGTTGTTAAATTGATTTTTAATGAAATTATTGACAACACAGACTTTTCAGCTTATAATTTAAGTGAATCTACAGTGAATCAACCCAACATATCTAAATGCTACCATGCCCTTCAGTTAAATTGTAGAATGCATTTATGTTACAACACATACTTTGGCAGAAACACCATCCTGACACTAAACCCCTACTGGATATTGGGTCCATATATCTTCTTAATACCACAGTAAAATCTGAATAGGCGGCCTGGGAAGAATAGAATTTGAGTCTTGTGTGTTGGGAAACACAATTTCACTAATTTCACATGATGACTTAGTGTGGAAAAAAGTGTGGTGCATGTGATTTTTAAGATGTAAGTATGGTGTTTTCATACCGAAGCAGTTGTCATTTAGTCGTCTTTTTTGTAATATAGAGATCACCGGAGACGAGTTTGTGTCCAGTGTGCTGCTCCAGAGCAGCCAGAGCTGTTCTCACCATGTAAATCTGTCTTCCTACTCCTCCTCTGGCTCAGTCCTCAGTGTGCTGTAAGAACACAGCCAAATCTCTCCCACCACCACTGTAAATCTGAAACTAGACACTTCTCTCTCGTTCTGTTTCTTTCTCAGCTTCTTTCTCTCTCCTTGACTCTGTCTCCTCCTCAGTTTTCCCTGTTACCGAGCTGCTTCTCTCCACTCACCGATCGATCATACGTACAGTACAACCTTCACTCGCTCTCTGTTTTGCAACTTATGAAAGTTGGTGAAACTAAACTGGTGTGACAAAGACTTTCTTCAGTTTACTCAGGTTTAAGCAGAGACAGATGAACATGGTTGCATATTGGCTGCATATACAGTATGCATGGCGTAATTGTTATACACAGCAATAGTTGAATAACATTAGCAATACTGCACTTTATCAGGGGTGAGCGTTAGAAAGTTTGAGAGTCAGAGGGAGACAGGGGGAGTAAGGGAGATGAGTTTAACTCCTGACCTCTGTCATTCTGACTCTCTTGGTCTTTCCTTCTCTCTCCACACCCAGAAGCTGACTCATTGCCCATTTGTCCCACCTTCCTCTGCATCTCGTCCTCTGATTGGCTGGGCACTTAAGCCAACAGCCAGTCACGGGGTGTTTACACGACTGGGCGGCCAGTGAAATGTAGGGTTCATGCATTTCTGTGTGTGTGTGTGTGTGTGTGTGTGTGTGTGTGTGTGTGTAAATTGGATAAACCCCAATACCACATCATATATCTGCTTGCCCCCTCCCTCATTCCTCCCCCCTATTTCTTCAAACCTATTTCTTCCATTCGCCAAACCGCTGCATGCCCTCAGCTCCTCCTTTTTAAATTACCCTCCTGCTCACCACTCAAACTTCTTAGCTCTCCCTCTCCACCGCCACATTAAAAACACACACCCATGTCAGCACCTTGCAGCGGCTCACACCCACCCCCCTTTCTGCTGTCTGAGTAATGTCTGTGTTTATTTTCTGAAAGAAGGTCACCCACTCTTTACTGTGTATTTTAAAGGTGCCATGTTTCATTTGTTTTAACAGTCATATTCTCAACGTGTATGCTGAGATGGCTGATAATCCGGAGATACTGATGCCACTCTCTGACGATGATGATTATAATCACGACATAGATGGCAGCAGTCATGGTGTCCTGAGCAGACACCACACTGCCTCTTCCTGTGTTGCTATCCTGGCC